CCGGCCTGCCTCCAGCTGCCCCAGCCCCCGACACCCACATCGCCTGCAGCTCTTGAGCCCCCCATCGCTGGCGGGTGAATCCTGCCCAGGTGCCCAGATGAGCTTGTGTATCCCCCCCCATCCCCAGGTGTCCTCCCCAACGGCTACACCCCGCCTCTGTCCCTCTGCTGGGACCAGTTCTGCTCCGACAGCCCCATCGTGGACGACGTGAGTGATGAGAACAACGTGGCCAGCCTGGTGGTGTATTTCCTGAGAAAAGGGGCTGCCCAGGTGAGCGCCCAGAGCAGGGGCTGGGGGGTGAAGAGCAAGGAGCCAGGGTTCTATTCCTGGCTCTGGGAGGGGAGTGGGGTGTAGTGGTGAGAGCAGAGGACTGGGAGTCAGGGTTCTTGGGTTTGATTCCTGCCTTGGCCCTCGTCACTTAGCCAAACCCAGGCACAAGGACAGCAACGCTCAGCTGTGGGCTGGGGAATTGCTGCTCCTGTCCCGCGGGGGAGGGGGATCCCCCACGTAATTTCGTAGCCAGAGAGGTGCTGAAGTGCAGATCTGAATGCCTTGGCTCCATCCTTTGCCTGGATGCGCTGTGTGGCCGGAGGCCGGTTCGGTCCCTCGGAGTTACCATAGAACACGGAGCCTGGGCTAGGTAAGATCCAATGGGACGAACCGATCAGCCCCGGACGGGCACGTCGTGGTCAGTACACAGCTGGATCTTGGCCCCAGTCCCCGTTTTCCTCCGTGGCCCCGAGATCGGCCAGGGCAGATGTTCTCCCGCTCCCTGCTAACGCCTCCTGGTGGCTGTTCGGCCAAACCAACGGCAGAAACTTCCGTTTTGCCAAAGCGTTTTTGCTCTTCCCTGGTGAAGTGAGAGCTGCCAGGCAGGGTCTTGCCCCGGGCAGCCGCGCCCGCAGGGGCAGCCGCAAGCGTGGGACCAGGCACCAAGCGGGGAGTCTGAAGCGTTTCCCGCTGCTGTCTCCTTCCAGGCCAAGCTGTACCGCACCAACCACATCGTCATGACGATGGGCTCGGATTTCCAGTACGAGAACGCCAACCTGTGGTACAAGAACATGGACAAGCTCATCAAACACGTCAACGCGCAGGTGGGGGGGGAGAGCATCCCCGGGGACTGCGGGTGGGGGGCAAGAGCCCCTGTGGGGCAGGGATCCCCAGTCACGTGGGGATCTGCCTGGGGTGCCTGTTGGGCCGGGACAGGCACCCTACTCCAGAGGGTTTTGGGCTCCACTTCCTGACCCACCTGCTGGGCCTCTGGGGGCAGCCACGTAGCCCAGGCAGGAGGCCTGTTGTACTCGGCAGGGCCCTGCTGCGACCAGACCACGCCGGGGCTCGAACCCAGGCCCTTGGGGAGCCCACCCTAAGTTGAGCTGTGCAACGAGGTCGGTTGCTGCTGGCCCCAGTGGAGCTCCAGAGGGTTTTGGGCTCCACTTCCTGACCCACCTGCTGGGCCTCTGGGGGCAGCCACGTAGCCCAGGCAGGAGGCCTGTTGTACTCGGCAGGGCCCTGCTGCGACCAGACCACGCCGGGGCTCGAACCCAGGCCCTTGGGGAGCCCACCCTAAGTTGAGCTGTGCAACGAGGTCGGTTGCTGCTGGCCCCAGTGGAGTCTTTGGGGAGACGGGGCCCAGCCCCCAGCCTGGTGCCTCACTGCTCCCCCCACACACACCCCTTGTGTCTCTTCCAGCAACTCAACGGGAGCCTGGTTCACGTGCTCTACTCCACCCCCACCTGCTACCTGTGGGCACTCAACAGAGCCAATCTGTCCTGGTGAGAGCTGAGCCCTCAGGGCGGCCTGGGGCTGGCAGGGATCTGCTGGGGGTGGCCTGTGCTGTCCTGCCCACCCCATGCGAGGGCAGAGAGTAGGGTCTCGCCAACCCTGGCGCATCCCCTTTGGAAGGGTAATACTGGGGCTGCCCTTGGGGCTGGCTGTGCTACCTGTGGGCACTCAACAGAGCCAATCTGTCCTGGTGAGAGCTGAGCCCTCAGGGCGGCCTGGGGCTGGCAGGGATCTGCTGGGGGTGGCCTGTGCTGTCCTGCCCACCCCATGCGAGGGCAGAGAGTAGGGTCTCGCCAACCCTGGCGCATCCCCTTTGGAAGGGTAATACTGGGGCTGCCCTTGGGGCTGGCTGGTGGGGGGGGTAGGCTTTGCCTGCCAGGGGAGAGCGCCCCCTGCTGAGCTCGGCTCCACCCCAATCCCTGCAGCACAGCGCCCCCTAGCCCTGCACTGGAGTATGTAGCTGAGCGTGTCTCTCATTGGTCTGTTCCATTATAACCCTTTGCTCTGTTCCTCGGCCGTGGGAGCGGCTGGCGCTGGGTGCGGGGGCTGAGCTGTGGCGCTGACTGGCTGGCTGCCCCGTCTGGCCATGCGGTGTGGATTGGGGAGCGAGGGAAGGGCGGAGGCCCGGGTCTCCTGGACCCGTGAGTCGCAGAGGGGACCCTCTCTGGTGTCGCGCAGGTCCCTCAAATACGACGATTTCTTCCCTTACGCTGACGGACCGCATCAGTTCTGGACGGGCTATTTCACCAGCCGCCCGGCCTTCAAGCGCTACGAACGGCTCAGCAACAACTTCCTCCAGGTGGGCGCCCCGGCAGGGTGAGCAAGGCAGGGATTCTGGGATCCCCTCTCTTCCTTTCTCCCTGCGACCCAAGCACGACAGAGGAGACCTGAGCCCAGAAGGCAGGACTCTGCCATTCTGCCCCCAGCTCTAGGAAAGCCATGGAGTCTAGTGGTTAGAGCAGAAGAGGCTGGGGGAGCCAGGGACTTTGGGCAAGTTCTTTCACTTCCCCCTGCCTCCTTTTCCCCTCCTATGAAACGGGTGGCGCTTCCTTCCTGCAGAGCTGCTGGATGCAGATGAATGTTCCCTCATCCCTGTTTCCCCCTGCTCCTTGCAGGTTTGCAACCAGCTGGAAGCGTTGGCCGGTCCAGTGGCGAGGAAGGGCCCCTACGGGGAAGGAGACAGCACCGTGCTCCGTACGTGAGCCGCTGGGCCGTGAATTGCCCCGTAATCGGGATTCCCCCAAACCTGTCCTGCCCTCTGCAGCCACTAGGGGGCGACAGAGCAAAGGGACAGCTCCCTTTGCAGCCAGCAGAGGGCAGTGCCGGCTCCCCCACGCGCAGACGTCCACTGGAGTCTGGATTCCAGGGCTCTGGGAGGGAGTGGGGCCTGGTGGTTAGAGCAGGGGGGGCGGCTTCCAGGCTCCTGGGTTCTGCTCCTGTCTGTGTGCCCTTGGGCTTGTTGCCCCGTTGATGCTGGAGGGTGGAAGGAGCATTCGGGCCGGGAGGTGCAAGCATCGTTCTCTGGGAGGGGTTGGATTTGGGGGGCTGTCTGGTCCGGCACCATCCCGGCTGGGTTTGGCGCAGCCCCCCCCATCTCTCCCTCTGCCCCTGACGCCCGGCTCCCCCCAGGCCGGGCCATGGCAGTGGCGCAGCATCACGACGCTGTGAGCGGGACGGAGAAGCAGCACGTGGCTAACGACTACGCCAAACGCCTGGCCGCCGGCTGGGACACCTGCCAGGTACCTGCCCTGGCTCCTTGGCCCCCTGTTCCCCTCCAGTGATCCCGGAACCTGACTCTGCCTCCTCTTGTCTCCCCAGAGGGCGCTTCCAAGGCACATTGGCCTAGGTGGTAGCCAAGCACCTGCTATGGCCCCACCCCAGAGGTGGCTGCATTTTGGCACCTTGACCAATGGGGTAGCCCCTCTGGAATTAAATCAGCTGTTACCACTCAAGAGTGCGATCTTGGAGTCACTGTGGAGAGTTCTCTGAAAACAGCCACTCAGGGGGCAGCGGCCGTCACAAAAGCAAACTGAATATTGGGAATCATTTAAAAAAGGGTAGAGAATACGGGTATGGCTACACTTTTGTTTTGTTTTTGTTTTGGGAGAAGTATTCAAATACCGCGGTGCATTTGCTTACTTCCTCTGGTTTTGTTTTTTCGGAAGAGGTTTTTCCGGTATTTGCCCCTGTCTACACCGGGTCAAATTTCAGAAAAAACCCTATTTCGAAAGACCCTGTAAACCTCACTGTAGAAGGATTAAGGGGTCTGTCAAAAGAGGGTTTTTTTTTTTTTTCAAAATTTGACCCTGTGTAGATGGGGGCAAATACCAGAAAAGCCTCTTCCGAAAAAAAAGAAAAATGGAGGAAGTATGCAAATGAGCCATGGTATTTGCATACTTCTCCCGAAACAAAAGAACAGTGTAGACAAACCCTAAGAAAATACCTTACTGCCCTACAAATCCATGGGATGGCCACCTCTTGAATACTGCGTGCAGACGTGGTCGCCTGATTCAAAATAAAATCTTGGCATTGGAAAAGGGCAACAAAAATGCTTAGGAATTGGGACGGCTGCCATATAAGGAGAGAGTAAAACAAAAACTGGGGTTTTCCATTTAGAAAAGAGGAGACTAAGGGGGGATAGGAGAGAGGTCTATAAAATCGTGACTGGTGTGGAGAAAATGAATAAGGAAAAGCTGTTGACTTGTTTCCATAGCACAAGAGCTAGGGGTCACCAAATGAATTAACAGGTAGCAGATTTAAAAGAAGCAAAAGGCAGGATTTCTTCATGCAATGCACAGTCGACCTGTGGAACTCCTCGCCAGAGGATGGTGCGAGACCAGGTCTTTAACAGGGTTCAAAAAAGAGCCAGGTAGATTCCTTGAGGACAGGTCCATCGATGGCTATTAGCCGGGATGGGCAGGGATGGTGTCCCCAGTCAGAGGCTGGAAATGGGTGACAGGGGAGGGACCACGTGGTGATTCCCTGATGATTGACCAGCACTGCCCATGAGGGGAGAGTGCCCCATGCTGGTCCCTGCAGCACAGCGCCCCCTAGTGCCACCCAGAAGCATTGGGTCAACGCTGGCTGCCAGGGCAAAGCTCCCCTGTTCCTCTGTTGCACGGTGCCCCCGGAGGCACTGGTGTCAGCCCTGATGGTGAGGGGAGAGGCCCATCCCCCATCCTGTCCCTGCTGGAGAGCCCCCTCCCGCCCCACTTAGTCAGACTCGCAGGTGGGGTGGTCTCTCTCCTGACGGACGGCGTCCCTCTCCCTTTGCAGGTCCTGGTCAGTAACGCCCTGGCCTCCCTCAGCGGCAGCAAGGAGAACTTCATCTATTGCCACTACCTCAATATCAGCGTGTGCCCCCTGACCGAGTCCAGCGGCACGGTGAGCACCTTGCTACTGCCTAGACTGTGTGCAGGGGCGCCAGGCCCCGAGCATGTGGGGCGCTGCTCCCTGCGCCGAGTCCCCGCCTTGCCCACGCAGGGTGGCTTTTCTCTCCCCGGCTGGGCCAGTGGCTAGCGCCTGGCGGGGGGCAGGGAGGGGCGGGGCAGCGTCTCGCTCACCGGAGTCTCTCCGTCCAGTTCCTGGTGATCCTCTACAACCCGCTGGGCCGGCCCGTGAGCTGGACCGTCCGGCTGCCGGTGAGCGGAGCCTCGTACGCGGTGACGGATCCCAGCGGCCAGACGGTGCCGAACGAGGTAGGGCCCCGGGCGTCTTCCTCCCCTCCCCGGGGCTGCCTGCTCCACCTGTGTCCAGCCCAGCCTGCAGGGGGGCCACTCGGCACCTGGGATTGGGCTCGGGCACCGTCTAGCAGACAGGATCCCCTCGCCCAATGATTTGTGATGGGGGGGCTCACGCTAAGATTTTGCCAAATACTTCACTTAAAAGCTTCAGAGCAATAGCCGAGTTAGTCTGTAACTGGAAAAGCTTAAACAACAAATAGTCTAGCAGCATCTTAAAGACTAACAAAACATGCAGATGGTATCATGAGCTTTCGTGGATACAACCCACTTCTTCAGACACTGATTCAGATAAAACACACAACTTGTGTATTAATTACAGAGGGATAGATTAAGTGATTATTAGTGACAGCAAACAGATCAAAGCAGATTACTTAGCAAATAAACCAAACTGCAAACTAACCCTAATATACTCAATAGGATTTGAATTAGCAATTTGAGATAGCTATTTCTCACCCTGACCAATGATACAAGCAAGCCTGCAGATTCCTAAGGCACAAACTACAATTGCTATGCAATCTGGGTTCCCTTCACCCCTTCCAAGTCCCTTGCCTTTAAGAGAGTTTGTCAGGTGTTGAACTGTGGGGGTGTGAAGGCAAGTCATGATGTTACTCCCCTCACCTTATATAATCTCTCCACACGGTGGAAGCTTTTGTATCAAGCTAAATTCCCAGCCCAGCTTGTGGAAAAATACAGGTACCAATGGAGTTCAGTCTCATTTGGTCTGGTCCCATTCCCTTGCATGCCTTGTTGAGTCATAGCAGCCATTACTCACAAGCTGGCTAAGCTCTTCTATGCTGGACCATTATCTTTACTGATGAGCCGTTAGCAGTGTCTGTTGTGCCTGAAAGGCTAGCTGTGAAGGTTACTTTTGGAATACAGAGACATAGTCCATATTCATAACTCCAGATACAAAAATGATACATGTGCAGATAGAATAATAATGCTCAGCAAATCATACCTTTTCCAGTCCCACCTCCTGACACATCTTGTACAAAATGCAGCATGACTATGCCATAATCATACCTCCATGATGAACAGTTGTGCAGTGTCAGTGTGCATTGTGGTAAATGCTTTGTGTTTCCAGTGGCCTGTGCAAATATTAATCCCATTTTGCTTAGCTCCTCCTAGTGGTTTTTCCAAACCTAATAGAAAAGGCTTTGCCACACCACAAGGTGTTGTGACAAAGATACAAACTTACTATCAGATTTTTGTTTTTAATCATGACCAAGTCTTACTGTGTATGGTGCCCCCTGATCTCCAGCCCAGAGCAGCTACCAGCCAGCACAAACCAGGGGGGTTTATTGAGCTCTGAACAGCAACGGGTCTCTCAGGCCAGTCGGCCTGGGCCCTCAGCCCCACGTCAGCCCCCCCTGCAGCCGGCTGAGTCCTGCCTGCTCTGCTCTGTCCCCCCAAAACAGCCCCCGTCTCCCAGCAGAGCCTCCAATACCCCAGCCACAGCCCCTCCCCCGGCCAGAGCCTAGCCCCTCCCCGTCCATTGTCTCCTCAGGTAAGAGGGTCGCCTGGGCCCCTCTCCTCCGTCCAATGTTCTCCCCTCGCTGGGGTCAGCTGGGCTGGGACCGGGGTCCCTCTCTGCAGCCCCTTGTCTGTCATCTGGCCAGAACTGGCCGTGTCCTCCAGGGAGGGTCGGGGCACCAGGGTCCCAGACATGAGTGAGAGTCCTTCTAGATTCTTCCAGACTCAAAATCTTCAGTGTCAGAAGGGATCACCCTGATCATCTACTCTAGTCTCCCGTGCATTACAGGCCACAAAATACCAGCCACCCTCTCCTGCAATAGACCTCTAGCCTCTGGCTGAGTTACTGAAAATTCTGACACCCCAAAAGACTTAAAGACTTCAAGTTACAAAGACTCCACCATTTATACTAATCACAAACTCGTGCTGCCTGGTCAGTTTCACCTCGGAGTACAAGGGGAGCCGGCTCTTTGGGGCAGGGACTGGCTGTATCTGTCCCCACCCAGCTGGCCCCTGACTAGGTGGGCCGACACCATCGTAATACACCCACTAGATAACGCCCAGCCCTGGTCCCTGACTGGGGCCCTTAGGGAGGGGGAAGCCAAGGATAAGTTGGCACAAGAACAAATGGGTCAAACGGGCCAGGAATCCTCCCTCGCAGGCCAGCCCTGAAAAGCAGGTTTCTAACCATTAGAGAGGACAGGAGCCTCAGGAGCAGCGGGAGGCAAACAAACGAATTAGCTTTTAGAGCTTGATTAGTTTCTGACCCAGACAATCTGACCAGCTGGGGGGGCTGGATTCTGTGACCCAGGACTTCCCTTTCGGGGGCGCTTCCAGGCGAGCCCCAGTTGGAGGGCAGGGTATTCCAAGGTGGAGAAATGAGGGCCCTGCGGTGGGTTGTCCTTACCGATGTGCCCTCTAATTTTTTTCATCCGGGTGTGGAATAAATTTTGTGTGTTGAGGTATGTGCGGATGTGCACCACCGGGAGAACTACATTCTGCCGGCTGTGGGCGCTTTGCTAATCAGCTGGGCGGCGTTTGAATCTCTCCTGAATGGAGGCCCAAGCGCCCAGCTGACAGGGACTCTTCCCCCCTTCCCCACAGCACGTCCGGGTGCTCCGCCCAAGCGCCCGGCTGACAGGGACTCTTCTCCCCTTCCCCACAGCACGTCCGGGTGCTGTTCAACCCGGTCACCGGGCTCCTGAGAGAGATTCGGAACCTGGACAAGAGCCTGTCGCTGCCGGTGTCTCAGAACTTCTTCTGGTGAGTGAGTTGGGGGATGGGGAGAGTCGTGATGCCTGGGTTCCACCTTCCCCCCCAAGAAGGGAATGGTTTCCAGAGGGTAGATCAGTGAGGGGGGCTGGGGATCAGGACTCCGGGGTCCTGTTCTCAGTTCAGTCATTTGATTCACGTTTGACCAGGAAGCCTTCCTCCCCAAATGTCCCTGTGCCTCAGTTTCCCCTTTTGTAAAAGAGGGTAACGGCTGGAGGGAGTGTTTGATCCCTCAGCCAATACTGGAGCGCGTCCCTGTGTGCGTGTCCCTGGCGTGGCCTCGGGGCTTGTGGTGCTCTGGGCAGCTGACTGGTCCTTCCCCGGCTCCTGATCTCTCACCACCTGCCCTCCTCTTGCCCCACCCGAGGTACAAAGCCAGCATCGGCGACGACGACAGTGCCCAGGCCTCGGGGGCGTATATCTTCCGGCCCAACCGCTCCGAGCCCTTCCGCGTGGCTACAGTAGCTCGCAGGCGGGGGTGCCCCCAGTGTGGGAACAGCCAGGGGGCTGGGTGTGGGAGCTGAAGTCTCTTGTCTCAGATCCCCTTATGCCCTGAGCTAACTGGGGAGGAGAGAGGGGTTTAGTGGTTAGAGCAGGGGAGTGCTGGTAGCCAAGATGTTGAGTTCAATTCCCAAGTCTGCTGGAGTCCGCTGGATGAGAGACGTGTTGCCAGCTCTGGGGGAGACTTAAAACAAAGGTCCCACCTGCTAACGACCCTGGAAGATCCCCAGGCATGTTCGTTAACCATAGCACCGGGTCTGTCAAAGCAAAGCCCTTTCAGCATCCTCCAGTCATCTCCTGTTGCACTTTCAGCTTGATCCAGGATCCTTTCCGTCCTCTGCTTCAATGTTGTGCTGAGTTGTTGTTGGCTACTAACAGCCTCCTCCCCAGAGGCAGCTGCATCTCAGCCTCTGGAAGGGAAGCCTGCTCTGCACCACGCACACCCTAACCCAGAAGTGGCTGTGCGGCGGAGCTGGGCAGGGAGAACCCCTGTGAACCCCCGTTTCTTTCTTTGTCCGGGCCAGAACAAGCTGGTGCAGGAGGTTTACCAGAACTTCTCCTCGTGGTGCTCGCAGGTGGTTCGACTCTACGAGGGGCAGGCCTATGTGGAGCTGGAGTGGACGGTGGGGCCGATCCCTATAAAGTGAGTGAAGAGCTGGCCAGGAAACAGAAGTTTTGCCCCGGGAAACAGCCTGTAAACAAATAATTTCGGCTGGGGGGTGGATTTATGGGAGTTGTAGTTTTGGTACCTTGGGCTCCCATGTTCCCCTGGGGGTGGATTCCCTGGTTGCACTACATTTCCTATGATGCACTGCAGCTTGGGGGCAGGAGGTAGAGCATTATGGGAGGCCCAGGCCATAGGGACTCATGGGAGATGGAGTCTGACCAGGGAGCCTGGCTTGTCAAGTAAAAGGGGGAAACCAGGCCCCTGAACTCCGGCTCCCAGAAGGCAGTGCACCAGCAGCGCCAAAGCCGCGTATTTGAGCATTTTGAGGGAGTTTTGTCCGTCCCGTGACGCTTTTCATGGGAAATGCCCCCATCTCCCATCGGCAGGGCTCAGAGGGGAAGTGTCAGCCCAGCC